CTTTGTAGTTTTTAATTTCAAAACATACAGTTGTTCAAATACATAATTAATAATGGCTGGAGACGGCTTAAATGGGTAATGAAGAAAAACTTTAATATAAGTTTAACATGACAGCAAATGTACAACGTTTCGACAAGGTGATAATGACAAAACCTTGTCGAAACGTTGTACATTTGCTGTCATGTTAAACTTATATTAAAGTTTTTCTTCATTACCCATTTAAGCCGTCTCCAGCCATTATTAGAGAATATCAATGTTCACTTGGTTTGTAACACGTACAAGACATGGCTGCTATCAGTCGATGTACGGTACTGGCCTCACTTTGATTGACAGGTCTCAACTGGGCAGCAGCAAGTATGAGCCAGCGTGGGTAACCGCAATACTGAGTTCAAAGAGACTGCTTAGGACTAGAAAACAGGTAACCACAAGCCAAGTTGACCGCAATACGAGTACCCATAATAGCAGATGTTTTACAAACATAAAATAGAAGGAAATATTTGGGACAGAGCCAAAATGGCTGTAATTAAGGGTTGACCACTATATTGCATTGACCAGTATGCGGGTCTGGACTGTACAAACAATTAACTAAGGTTGGGGTTAATTCAACTGTGGGGAAGTTTGATGAGAGAAAGCAATAAGTTGGAACTAATGAAGTCCAGTCAAACTGGATTACCGTTTCTAGTTAAGTGCTTCAAAGGTCAGTATTCATCTGATACAGCATCAGGACATGTGGAAGTTGCTAGGTAGTACAGTAGCAAACAAACATTACCCATACAACTTCCATAGCCTGTAACTTTCCCCAAAGGTGTGAAGGCTCACACACATCCATATGCTGTATATGAATGAGCAATACCAACCATGAGTATAATACAAATTTTAAGATAATGTATGCATTTCAGATATACTTGTCAGATATGAGCTTTTTAAAAATAATTTGTTAAATATTCAAGATAAATATGTTCCATAAAACAAAAAAATGGGTAGCTGCAAGTAACGGATAAGAATGGCCCACTAGAAATATTAGGAAGAAGATAAAAGAAAAAATTACAAATTCAAAAAGTTTAGTTAACTATTCAGATGGAAGACTTGGGGGATTAAAGGTCAATACTGATGTAGTATTAATTAAAATGTGCTCAAAACTACAAAGACAATGGGATGGATGCATCATCTTTTTTATGTTTACTGATAACAAGGGTAGGGCTATATAGGACATAAATATAAAATTTGGTAGGTCAGAACTCATCTGCAAATCAGGCAATTCTATTTTTCAAACAGGGTGATCAACTTTTACAATAGATTACCTTCAAGTTCAATTTACAATACTTGTATCGATATAATAACATTGAATGAATTCATCAAAGCAAGCTAAGCTTAAGTATGTGAACAAAAATTCTCTCAATATATGTCTACCATTGTTAATGTTAGGCCTACTATGTGGTTATACGTATATAAAATTTAAAAATTATTTTACAACACATATACTTACTCTTTTCTCATGTGACTCCACCCAAACTAAATTTGGTTTTTTATACTTTAAAATGCCACATTTCGTAACAACAATTTCGTCTGAATGCCTTTGAAGTCCTGGACCTAATACAGTTTTAAAATTATCAGATACTAGCCCAGAAATAAAATTTGAAATGCTTTCTCCAGGTAATACAACTCTACAATTTAACCGATTCGCCATGATGGCCACCAAACCTCAAGGAATATGAACTTAGCTATATATTCTTATTCAAAAATATGAGATTTGACGTCACAAGTAAAATGAAACATCAAATGAGACAAACTATTTATCACAAGTTTCGGAAAAATTTAAGACACAGTGATTAACACTTTTTATGGAATGTTTGTTTGTTTCACACAATGGCCTGTCTACGCACCATCCACCACCTGGAATCGAACTCCGGATTTTAATATTGCAAGTCTCTAAAATTACCGTTGACATTGAATCTTTAACTCAAGTTTACAAAACAATCCAGTTTAAACATGGTAAGTATAGTCACGGTAAGGAATTTTACAATACAATTCAAATACCAAGTACGCCTTTACTAGACACAGTATGAAAGAAAAAAAGTAAAAAAATACAAAAATAACGTGTAAACATTGAATAAATTGGAAACTTTCCTATGAAAGTGGTGAATATTATCATGTACATGAAATACAATAAATCAGGCCTATATTGCATATGAAAATTATCATTGAAAGCATTGAAATGGATCACTTCACGGCAATCTCTTCTTTTACGGTGGTTATAATATTTGACTTATTTATACTGCAACGACCATAAATGCAGAGTTCAAAAGTATCATTCATAGCAATATTTTCTAAATACTAATTTGTATCTTCATGCGAGGAGTAACTGGGAACACAAATGAAAAAAATGTGGAGTGTCATAAAAGTTCTATTCAAATTGATTGTTTGCTGTTAAGCGCAAAGCTACACAATGGGCTATCTGTGCTGTGCCCACCACGAATAACGAAACCAAATTTTTAACAGTATGAGCCCTTTAGAGTTACGGCTGAGTCATAGGAGGAATCCAATTATTATTATTTTTAATTATACAGCAGATACCATAAATAACTGCTTTACGGGGATTTCAAAACTATCACATAAAGCATCAACATTCCAAAAATTATGACATAATTATTATTATGTAAACGACTTTTCTAAGCTAGCGAAGCAAGATTATAATTAACCATGCTTGTCGTTGGACAGTAGTATTATGCCTATCATTATTTTCAACACAACGTTCGTTATTCAGTACCATGGTCTTTTTCAGAATAAAAATGTATGGTAGTTTTGTAACGTATTTTATTGTCGGTAAAAATAATGCCAATTGTGTCCATTCCACGTAACGATAACATATTATTTTATAATTTTTGCCACAGGCTTCGTTCACTTAGAGACAAGATGTAGGACTAAGTTTACAAACAAACTTTTTAACAAACTCTGTGACATAATGCA